GGCGCCGAGAGCTAGGCTCACCCCTCCGCCATCTTGGCCACCTGACGTCACCAATATTTACTGACCTTTGACACCCAGCAAAAGCCCCGCCCCTCGAAGAGGCCGCAGCCATTTCCGGAGGCATCCTCTGAAAGGGCGGGGCCACCGTGCGGCTGTAACCATAGAAACACTTCCGGATTCCTTCCGGCAACGTTCGTGGCGGCTGCTTTAAAGAAACTGAGGTCTCCACGTTGTTGCACCTGGTGGTGGAAATAAAAAAGGACTGTTTCGTTCAAGGGGGTGCTTTCAGCGTTTATATGCAGTATTTCCTGTCTATCTCTCACGCGGGAGGCGTTCGAAAGGAAACCGGAAGTTGAAGGTGGCGCGGTGCCTTCCACCTTCTTGTGGTCTCTATGTTCTCCTCCCGCAACTTCGGTTGGCCTATGGCAGCCGCCGAGGCCCAAAATGGTGTGTGCGAAGCGCTCTCAGGCTTTCCCCTCTTCCTTTGAAGGAACCCGAGGCGGGCGAGGGTGTGTCAGCCCCGGGAGCCAATGGGAGATCAGCACGCGCTAATTTCCATAAATTTACCATAAATAAACATGTGCTGATTTATGCAAAGATCTTAAAGCAGGCTGAGTCATCAGGTTGCTTCTTCATTCATGCATTCCGTCATCAAACACATGTAATTAATTAATTTAAATGAATTAAATAAGTGTAATTAATTAAATAAATTGAATCAAAAATTAAATATTTGCCTTAACAACGCTGGTCGAATCCGACCCTGCAGCTATTTAACTGGGGAAGCAAATCTTAACAGAATTCAGTGGGGCTTCCTCCCATGCAATACTGTATATAACAGGACTGCAATGTTAATTATGCAGGGCAATAATTAGGGAGTCTGCGCGCGCGACCCCGATCTATGGGGATAGAAAGAAATTAGGCATAAAGAGTTCGTGTCTGCCTTTCCTTGTCTGCATTTTTCTTGGCACTGGATTTCCATTTACCTCCAAAAGGCGAAGGGGGTGGTGGTGGTAAAAAAAAATACAGTAATGGGATCCGCCTCTATTTTTAATCCCCCCCCCGCACCAAGATCTGGGGCTCCTTTTTGCAGTTTTAAGGGCAGAGGAAAGGGAGAAAGGGAGAAGGGCGCGCGGCCAGAAGCCCGACAGACGGAGCCGCCTGCCTGCGAGATGGGGAGAGACCAGAAGCACAACCCAGCTGGATCGGAGCAGAAGCCCAGGGAGGGAGCTCCGTTTGCAAATGCCCCCACACACACACAAAAAGGAGGAAAAAAAGAAAAGAAAAAGGGGAACCACTTCTTAATTTCGCCTGTGCTAATCTCTCTCTCTCTCTCCCTCTCTCTCTCTCTGTGATGTGCCATCATGCAGGGCTCCCAGGATATATTAAATATTTAAGAAGTGGATCAGGCAAAATCCAAAGGAACAACACAAAACAAGGGGAGGCTGGGAGATTTTAAGGCCAGCCCTGATCCTTCCGGGTGTCTCTCGGTGGGCTTTGTGGCTTCCAACATTTTGCTTCCAAGGACGTTTGGCCTGCCAGCTGCACCCTCACCTGGAAGTCATCCTCGTTTTCAGCTACATTTGCTAAGCCATCTGTGTCCCTCCTGGAAAGGAACGGCCTGCCGAGTTATTCACGCTTTAGTGAAAGGGGAGACGGAGAGTGACTTGGTTTCATGCCTTTTTGCTTGGGGAACCCTGGTTGATTCTGGCCCTGTCACCCGGCAATGTTAAAATGCTGTTTTAAAAAATTTAAAGGAGTTAAATGTAACAATGCCACTTTCCTCTTGATCACTTTCTGGAGAGTCACAAGGAGATACTGTAACGGATTTCAAATATTGAATATTTGGCAGGAACAAAGCTGCTTGGCTGGGGTAAATGAGATTTTTTTGTTGTTGCTGCTGCTTTCAAAAATTTCCTCTGAAGGCTGTTTAAAGCTTTCTGGACACAATTTAGCAGTAATTTTCTGAAGGTTTTTGCTATTTTCAAATGAGCCCTATTTTTTCAAGTAATGCAGTGAGTTTACTGAGTGGATTGTAATCCACAAAAGCTCACACTGAAATAAATGTTAGTGTTCAAAAAAAGTTGGCCCAAATTTAAAAAAAAAAGCAGAAAGTTATCTGGAAATAAAAAGAAAAAAAACAAGAGGTTTTTTGCTTTGGTTTGGTGTTTTTCTTTTTTTACAGTTTAAGGATAAAGTAAATAAGATGCCATATTGTTTTGGCTATTCTACTAAATAATGATGCACTTTTACTGTTCAACTGCAGTAATCAGGAACAGAGAAAATCAAGTTTAAAGAGGCATTTTCCAAGCTCAGATAAAAATATTTTCTATTTATCACTCGGTTAGCAAAACTATACCCCTCCAATGTGGCTTTCGTTTTAAAAATCTGCAGAAATGTCTCTCTTCTTCAGACTAGGAACTGCCTTGCACAAAACAGTTGTATCTGTTCATGAGAAATAAAGCACTTTAAACAGAATGTGATGCATTTTTGTGTGCCCCGTGTATGTTTTTAGTAAGCACAGATCGCACTGCACAGAGATGGAGGCATGAAGTGTGAGCAGGAAAACCTCCCTCCCATCCCCAGCCTCCAATTCCCAGGACAACTTTCACCAAACCTGCTCTGCAGAGGTGTTGTATTGCTGAGATTGGGCATGCAAAATCCTTGGAGCTGTCCACACGGCTGTTACAGATAAAAAACATGATGGAGGGTGTTTGTGTATGATGTCAGCTACGGATCAAATTCAGCAATGCTAGCTGAAAAACAATTGCCCAGGGCAGCAGCTGGGCAAGACCGCGGAGACCCCCCTCGGTGCCTTCTGCTCCCCAGATCGCACCTGGGTCTTGGCTGGCACTCTGGAAAAATTCCACATGGAGAGATTTCAGCCTAGAGAGAACAGCACTTGGAACAAAGGGGATTCTGCTAATGAAGCTAGGAAAAGAAGCTGGTTTTGCATTTGGGAAGCCTAGAGAAATAAAGGCACAGGTAGTTACGCTCTAGATGGCAGGAAGAGAAGGAGCATCCAGGATACGACCAACAGCCACCATACCGGATTGCAGCCTCATCCCTCACCTTTTCTCAATTGTATATTGTGCTTGTGTGAGAATAACCGGGCTCGGCGACTTTTCTGATGCTGAGTCTCAGACAGGCAGGGATTGGAAGCAGGTGGCGTGAATCCATTGGCCCTTTTACCAGCCGAGCCCTTTGGAAATTCCCTCTGGAGCAATGCTTGGGAAGGCTGAAGGGATGGAAAAGGAAAAAGGATCCCGGGTTATGCATCCTTCACTATATATAGCACATACAAAAGCCAAAGAGGGCTCACTTGCTGAAGCAGGCATACGTTTTTAACACAAGCCAGAACTAGATAGGAGAAGAGGGGAAATTGCTGTTTCATATTCTCCTGTAATTGGGGGCCGGAAACCAAGCCCTATAAGGAGGAAAGATTGAAAGATCTGGACCTGTTTAGCCTTGAGGCTGATGGGAGATGTCGTTGTTTAGTCGTTAAGTCGTGTGTGAGGCTGATGGGAGATGTTGTTGTTAAGTCGTGTCCGACTCTTCATGACCCCCCCCCCATGGACCAGAGCATGCCAGGCCCTCCTGTCTTCCACAGCCGCCCGGAGTTGGGTCAAATTTATGTTGGTCGCCTCGGTGACCCTGTCCAGCCATCTCGTCCTCTGTTGTCCCCTTCTTCTCTTGCCTTCACACTTTCCTAACATCAGGGTCTTTTCCAAGGAGCCTTCTCTTCTCATGAGATGGCCAAAGGACTGGAGCCTCAGCTTCAGGATCTGTCCTTCCAGTGAGCACTCAGGGTTGATTTCCTTCAGAATGGATAGGTTTGTTCTCCTTGCAGTCCAGGGGACTCTCAAGGGTAATGAGTAGACAATGACAGCCTTTACCTTTCAACCCTGTTCTGGAAAGGTACGTCTGATTAGCTGTGAAAGAAAATAACATTAGATAACAACATAATTATCACATTTGGTAACGGCTGAAGAAACCTTGGCTAATATTTAATCCATTGATATAACTGTTCATCATGTGTATACATTTCCTCTCTGCTGCATCCTTCTGGACTCTTGTTCTGTAATTTTGCCGCTTTCAAATCCTGTGAAGAGTGTCCTGGTAGCAGATGTGATTTCAGACCGGTTTCTGTATGTGGCGTTTTCTGATGTCGATTTAGGTCCGTTAATTCTTTTGCCTAGATATGGCACAGTTTGTTCTATGCAGAGTGCAAAGCAGCATTGATGGCGAAAGAAAGCACAGATCATGTTGGAGGCAGATGTGATTTCAGACCGGTTTCTGCATATGGCGTTTCCTGATGTCGATTTATGTCCATTAATTCTTTTGCCTAGATATAGTACAGTTTGTCCTATGCAGAGTGCAAAGCGGCATTGATGGCGAAAGAAAGCACAGATCATGTTGACCTTGGGATGCATCTGCCTCAGCAGTCTGGAAACGTGACTTATTTGGATGACAGTTCCTAGGATCTCCACGGTGGTCCTTCGAAACGGCAACCTTTCTGAAGCCTGACCTGTTTCTGACAATCCCTGCCTGCCTGCTTGCCTCCCTCCCTCCTGGTCTTTGGTCTGAGAGAACTACAACTCCCAGCAGGGCGTGGGCGCGGCGCATGCTCCGTGGGAGGGGAACCCCCCCTCCGAGGGGCGCATCCGAACCTGCTGCGATGGACCTGCCCTCCTTTTCGCGGGCGGCTGATGCTGGGATTGGCGGCTGGTTCGGCTGGCGGAGACCGGAGGGGCTCCGTCGGCGTCTCCCTCCGTTCGCCAGGCTTGGTGGCGCCGCGCAAGCAGGCAGGCAGGCAGGCAAGGGGACCGGTGCAAAGGTGAGGGCTGCCAGGGTAATCAGGAGACCGGCGGCGTTTGGGTACTCGCTGGGCGTGTGCAAGGGCGTGCATGCGTGTGCA